TTGTAAACAAACAAAAACAACTTAACTACACGCAAACTTATTGAATTCATTAATTAATATTTTTGTCAATTATGAGATAACGTAAGGGCGTGATTGTGAAATAACTCGAAGAACAAGGTCTCTCTAAAAAGATAACAAGTAATAAGAAAAAATCGGAAACATACTAGCATATGATGCTAAGATTGTTATGTTAATTAATTATCTAATATCATAGTTAGTACATTAAGTTTAGTATAACATTAGATTGATGTCAATGCTCTGGGAAAAAAAAGTTCATTATTAAAATCTCACTGAAGCTTTACTGTTGATCAATATATGGCCTGCAAATCCATCTTTGTTTTGTTGGATGAGACATTGTGTACCTAGATCATCTAGAAAATGAAAACTAAGTCGTTATTCAAATCTCGGTGAAGTTTACAGATGATAATGGCTGATGTGCGCAAGTACATGGTTTAAGTAAATTTTATCCCTTTTCTGATTTGTTTTGTTCTAAGCAAAGGTATCTTTGAGTTTTTTTTTTATGGATATTTTTTAGATCAATATTTATATCTAAAAACTCCGAGAGGCTTTGACTTCGAGCTTCCTGCGGTCATAATAAACTCCAAGGGTCCTCCTTTGACAAGGAAACGTACCGATTTTGTTGTTGTTTGGTTCTTGAATTCAGGAAAATATCAGCATGCTGACATTTTATTTCTAGAAACTGGGGTATTAATATTAGAATCTTAAGAATTACATAGCTCCACCTTTCGGTAACAAAATTGTGTTATATCTCAAAATGCTCAAGGTGTAGACCATTGGTTTAAAAAAATTCCTCAAACTTTTCCACAAATTTAACTGTTTAGAACTTGAAAGTTTAAGAGGCCAAAAGCCTCAACCCACTTCCCTCAATCATGAAAATATATTAGAGCTAATATGCCAAAAAGTCGAGTGGTGTTAGGGGCACACCCCCAACCACACCCTCGACCACACCTCCTCTCCCTCTATAGTGCATTGGGCCTCACATCAAATTTTTTTAAAAAAATTTGATGTGAGGCCTAATGCACTATAGAGGGAGAGGAGGTGTGGTGGAGGGTGTGGTTGGGTGTGTGCCCCTAACATTTTTACAAAAAGTCTGAGCACATTACAAATTTCTAGGTGGAATCAATATTATTATACTAATAAAACAGCAATCTCTAGTTGCACTTCTTGTCACTTGTCATGTCCTAAACCTTTTACCTATTTAATTTCTACTTAAAAATGCCATGAACATTTGTTTCCCTTAATTATTAATTCCTATTTTTCTCACCACTTCTCTTCCAAATAAATCTTTTATTATTCCCCGGAACATTTTAACACCTTGCTTTATTTCCCAACTGAGAATTTATCATGTTCTACATCTCCTATTCATTATAAACAACACACTATTTTGTCTTCAAAGATGTCATTTTTTATTTCATGAAATTTTTTTCTTGCAGAAAGGCTTCAAAATGTGAACATATTCATTCTTTCTACTTGATAATCCTCTTCAAAATTTAATTTGTAGGTCAAATGTTCTTTTTTACATTCTCATCTTAGGTAAGGATTTGGTTCTTGATGCTTTTTTCTATTTTCTTGCATCCAAAATAAATTTTTTGAACCTCATCAGTATAACATCTTAATATCATGTCTCGTGCATCACATGGGTGAAAAATAGTTTAGTGTAATAAGAAGTGTTATGGGGTACATAACCCCTAGAGTTTAGAGGGATAAGTGGAAGAAAAAAAGTTTATGGGGGTTTCGTGAACCACCCCCATTGTTCAAGGTGTTCATTGCAATACCTCAAACTTTGAAGGGTTTTCTAAAATTAACCCTAAATTTAATGAATTGAAGCCATTCTCTCTCGTCTCCGCCCAGATTTGGCTACAGGGTAACTATCAGAATCAAGTGGTTCCACTTAAATATGGTATCCCAACCTTCTATATATTTCCATCTTACTATTATTAGGGCATTAGAGAATTTAGAATTTACAGGGAGCTGAATTCAAGTCATAAAATGTATACTTGAAATCTTGTGTATAAGAGGAATAGATCTGCCGGGGAGTTTCGAGTTTGGATTTATGATCTTTGCAGTGTTTCACGTGATATGTGGTCACCCACTCAATGCTTTCCGAGTGATCCCCACCACTGCCTGAGTAAAATCAAAATCAAATATTTTACACTTATGTAATAGAATATATATTATTATAGAGTTTTCAGATCTTAGTCCCTCAGATCATCAATAGACTCATTTGAGTCCCTCAAATCTTTGAAATTGATTATTAGTCCATTAAAGATCCTATGGGATATTACAAATTGGTCCCTCCGGTTAACTCCAATAAATTTGAAGGGAATATTCTCTCAAATCCAATAGTTTGAAGGGGAGTTCCCATTTTACTCCTCCGTTAAGTTCTAACTATTTTGTCTAACATGTTTAAATCTAACAGGTAATTAGAAAACTTAAACTTATATCCACTGAGATCATCTTCTCATACAGTCATAAATACCAATATAACCAAGTCATAATCTCCTCTAACATCTATGTAATCCTTTAACTAAGGGGTAATTTTGTAACTAACAGCGTTAGGTTGACTCCTCTAACATGTATGTAATCCTTTAACTAAGGGGTAATTTGAATTTTAACTGGAAAACTAATAGAGGGGACCATTTGCAAGATCCTGCAGGAGTTGAAGGACTAATAAAAAAATTCGAAGATCTAAGCCACTAATATCTAAAAAAATCCTATACTATAAAAGCCAACACGATTGTCTAATTTTAAGTTTTTTAGGTTTAGTTATATCTAAATGTACAAATAAATATTTGACTATCCAAATGTGTATCAAAATATATAAAAGCAATATTATTCAAGTGCACATAGATTAAAAGGACCCTTTTACTAAATTGTATAAATATTTGAAGGACCAGGTTGGACATAAATTTTCTTTAGAATGTTTACTATAGTTTATTACATAAGACACATTGTCCTATTTGATCCGAATTTGAACTTGTTTTTTTATCAAATATCCATAACAACAATTGAAAGGATATGTTCCAAATTAGTAGAATGTAACAGATGATATGCTTATATGCCTCTCACATGCATGATTAAGACTATAATTACATGTATAACAATAATATGGCTAAACTAAATGAGTTGTTAGAGAGGACACACGTATTATCACGTATGTCGGAGTTCAAACTCTATTAAGCCCCTACGGTTTCATCTGCGAATCTATTAAGCCCCCGTGGTTTTTTTTTGACTCTATTAAGCCCTCGTGGTTTTATCTGCAAATCTATTAAGCCCTCGTGGTTTTTTCGACTCTATTAAGTCCCTGTGGTTTCATCTGCGAATCTATTAAGTCCCATTTAAAATTCAAAGTACGGGGCTTAATAGATTCGTAGATGAAACCACAAGGGCTTAATAGAGTCAAAAAAAAAAAAGAATGAAGGCTTAATAAATTCGCAGATGAAACCACATGGGCTTAATAGAGCCGAAAAAAAAACCACTGAGGCTTAATAGATTCGCAGATGAAACCACAGGGGCTTAATAGAGTCGAAAAAACCCATGGGGGCTTAATAGATTCGCAGATGAAACCATAAGGGTTTAATAGAGCTTGAGTTCCGTATATCGATATGTAAATAAAGGGAAGAAAACAAATATAAATACGATAACTATCTAGTTGATTAGTGGGAGGTTAAAGAGATCGAGTCTCTCCCTAATCTTACAAACAAACAGAAAAATGATCGTGGAATGAATTAAAATAACCAGTTATAATTTAATTATCAAACCCAAAAAAAGTACATAAGGATTGAGATACCATGTTTGGATTGATTTAAAAAAAGTTAACAAAGTGAGGAGTTTCCTAACCCACGACGCCTCACGACATAGCTCATTCGAAAATAAAAATAATAATGTCTGTTTTTAAATACTGAAAATGACACAAGAACTGTTATAAATATAATCTATTAATGGATTAATCAATTATCGTGTTTATTCTAAATACATGGTGTAGATGAAATCTCTCTCTTCAGGACATGTTTATCAACCGTTTGAAATAATCAGGAATTGAAATTGTCGCTTCATAATTAATCCTAGCTAGTTTGGCAAATAATCGGAGTAGAAGTTAAGCCATGTTTTGTTCCGCTAGTTTTTGGCTAACAACCAGGCGGGGATTGTTCCAACCCTGATCCATAACTAATCTGGTTTAAGCTAGTTCTTAATTAGTCCTCAAGTTGCCAAAGTGAGCTTTAATCTGTCTTTCGGTAAATACTTGGTGTCTGGTCTTAGCAGGAGACTTTGGATCCATATTTGGATTCCTAAAAATGTAAACCCAATACCCACTTCCAACGACCACCCAACGACAGCGAAGTTCACTAATCAAATAATTACAGATTTCTTCCGTCCTTGCCAACTACCAACTCATTTCTCTCTCTTTTGTCCAAAAAAAAGAAAGAAACGAAAAAAAGGGGGGGGAAACAGCTTATCCCTCTGTATAAAAATGGCCCCATATACGAGTTTTTCCCTTGATCTGTGAACTCGAAGGAGATGGACAAAGACTGCTGGAGCCTCGATCTTCTCACCTGACCCCGTACTATTTTCGTCCCCTCTCTCCTCCCAATCTCCCAAAAAATACCCACATCCCAAAAATCCAATCTTTTTACCGCTCCCATCTCAAAATCCAATCTTTTTCTACCTCGTTTATCCTTGATGGGCAAACTCTACTTCACCTTCTGAACAACCTCCTACCCTCAAAATCCCACCTTTTGTAGTTTCTAACTGCCCATTTTTGAGTTCTTTGGGGCTTGCGCTCAATTGGGTAACCCAAATTATGTGGTATTTACTATTTACTTGCTTGTAGGAATAAAAGACTAACTTTGCTCTCAAACAACTTTTCTTGGGTTTGACTTTAAGGGCCTTTTCTGTTGGGTGCTTTCAGTTAGCTGCCTCTTTGTGATTGGTGTTTCTGGATCTCTCTATTTAC